CTCTAATGGAGTGCGCCTGTGGGGAGGAGACCACTCCTACCCATTTTATTCACTGTCGACTACACGCTCACGTCACGCGTCGACTCAGAGGGAGATCATCACATAGTGGCTCTATCCAAAAACTTCTCGGGCCAAAGTGTCACGAATTTTTCAACATCTTTGAGAAGGAAACCTGCTGTTTTGGGTTGCCATCTACAAATTCGTCCTCTGATCTCATCGGGGACAATATAAATTAGTCATACAGATGATATGACAGGAAGGAAGACAAGTCGAGGAGATTTATTTCCGAACCAGAGATTGGTAAATCTACAGAGCTGGATAGTTTTGTGGTTAGGAGTTTGGTTTTTAAAGGTTGAATATTTGTACCAGTGCGAATTTTATACTAGCTACTATTTGTGTAGTGGTTCAAGCGGTGGGATCAAGTTTGGCTTATCAGGGATATGATCTTGGCTGTGAACATCGGTCTTTGACCCTCAGGGGATAACGGGTATAGCCTAGGACCTAAATTAATAAATAAATAACTCTGTGGGGTCGAGCCCTGACAGCCCGCCTCGAAGATGAGCTCTGCGGTTTGATGTGAATAGCTAAGATTGTGCGGAGGACAAGGCTGAATGCCTGTACGCAGTGTCCTCTACGAAACTGGGAGTGAAATATTCTCCCAGAGCCAAGTTCAGTCAAATTTCGCGATACCGAACAAGTTGTCCCACGAGGCAATGATTCAAACTACTCCACCACGTCAAATCTTCACTCCCAAAGAGTACGATTCATACCTTAGTCTCATCAAGTCTACAAGTGCGACCTAGTACATCCTCATTCCAATGATCACACCTCTTGTCGACTTTCTCTGGCCTCAGCTGGTCACCAAATACACGCCCATGCCGATATTTACACCCGCTGGAGGAAGCAAAGCGTGGTGCACAAATCTGGAAGAAAGTTCTTTGGGATAGACGTGAGAGGGACCAGGAAAATTACTAGATGATGCAAAAGAGGGATACGTTTTCGACGGGCGTGAAATTCCGAATTTTTGCAAGGAGTTTTACGAATTGGGCTTTGTGAGCGCCAAGACTTCACTTGCGAAAGTGCAGCTCACACTATAAAAACAAGCAAACGATGGAAGATGTCGTGGTCCGCCTCCTCGTGGTGTTCTCTGGTATGGTTTGAGTAGCATGGGCACCTACTCCACTTGGGAAGGAGACATCTCAGATTACATTTCGCGCGGAGAAAAGTTGAAAGATGATGGAGGCATGTCTGGATAACTCAGGGTTTTTGAGGCGTTCCCCTGGGTGGGCATTCACGGATGAGGGTTGACTTGGGGCGAATAAAAAGCTGGCATAACTTCGCAGTGGTGCTTACAAATGAAATCCGAAGCATGAGTGCTCTTCCTTTATATTGAGTCATCTGTTATATACTTTTCTTTGATATTGTGTCATAGCTAGATAGCTGCATACGCAATAAAAATCTGATGTTAAAAAAAATTGTATTGTGCTGATACAAAGTGTAACCTGACGATTACCTTACATAAGCACTATAAAAAGATCTTGTTGAGTGTGAAAGGCTCATCTTTTCGTAAAGTCCTAATCACATGCAAAGATGGGCAGGCTGGTTATCCCAGAGAACCAGTAGCGGGTAAACCCGAAACAGACAACTACCATTGCTTTATGCCCATAAGTGCTGGTAGATTGGGTACATATTATTTTTAATTCATTTTATTGTCTTTTTTGAGTCTATGACTATGTAGGAAATGCAGGTCCTCTTTGCCTACAGGCCAAGGGTACTTATACCAGTAGTATATCTCCTCCTATGTCTCCAATACAGCTCCCCTCAAACAGTACCACTCCTCATAAGTCATCATTCGATCATAAACTTAGAGGAGCCATTTGCCCTTCATTATCTCGCCTCTCCAGCCAACGAAACGATGGACGTTTGCGGGTGTATGGCAGCCGGGAGAAATTGCAAGATCCACTGGGTGCGGAGCTCTTTTTTTTGTTTTTTTTTAATTCATGGTGTATTCAGCAATCTAGCTAAGACACATTATTTACATAATCTTAGTCCCCAAAACTCTTTTCTGAAATACACTCTTCATAATTATTATTTGAATTTCCAATTTAGCTATCCTAGTTCAACTCCCTTTATATGCCACCATGCACTTGGATGTGTCCGAATATTTAAGAAGTGCTTCTTTTCCTCTTCTTGTTCGGAATAATATAGGTACGGTTCTCGGCTCTACGCTCTTTAAACATCTGTTTCTTTGGTATTTAAATTTCGGAAAATGTAACAACAAATATTGCACAGTCTGCCTCTGTTTTGAGTAAAAATTGCATATATCATCTTCAACTTTTCCAATCTTGTGCAGATACACCCGGGTGTTTCCGGTGCGGAGCTCTCCTAATACCGACATTAGGACTATATCCGAAGACATGGTTCCCCTTCTGAAGCGTTCGAAGAGACCGGCCAGCTGAAAGCTACAGACTTATGTGTTCCTCGGAAAATTCACCTTCTGCCTTTCTAGCCTCCTTCCAACTCCTTCCCGAAGGTCGTGCTGAAATGTCAGAAAAGTCTTGATAGGGCATGATTACTGTTTGGTAGCTTAGCCCAACTTTTTTTGTACCGTCCAGGGCCTTGAAGACTGCCGTTGACTCATCGACAATAGAGGTCATCCTAGCTAATTTGCCGAAATCTCGCTCTTGGCGCCCACAAACGTTCTAAAGTTGAAAAACACTCGAAAATGCTGGACACAAAATGGTCTTTAGAGAACTCTTCTCCCCCTCGCCTCATATGTGTTCCGCCTGTTCTCCCTCAAGTTGTTTTTCCCATTAGAATAACAGCCTCCCATATCCTAGGGCACAGGCTTTGAATATTTCAACTTGATTTCTTCCATGCAGGTATAAATGGCGTCGTAAATATGTAGTGGGAGATGACTAGTAATTAATGGGGCAAGCTCTAGTTTGCAATTGAAGCAACTCTGGTATCAGTCGTTGAGGCAATATAATGTGTGGTTAGAAAGAGGTTGAAACTCAGATCACTATGGTAAGAGAGGCATTGTGGAGAAGTCTTCAAATAGAGATATGCTTGAGGTTGCTTTCGACTTCGAATCGGTTGCGATTCTTCTTGTCTATCCCAAATATGCTGACCATAGAGGGCGATTACACATGCACCAATGGATGGTAGAAATTACTCTTTTCTGGCTGGCAGCATTTGTAGAGCTGAAAAAGCTTTTACTAAATTTACTTAACATTCTTGAGTCTTGTGTCTTCACAGCCTTAGTCGTTAGGTTTGGTTTGTACATTAGCGTGCTAGGCAAAGTGACTACCGCTGCACTCCTCCTGGTGCTTGAGCATTAGTGGGGCCGGGCTGTATCAGGTTAAATACCATTGAGTAAATCTTCCTCGTCCCACCAAGATGACCGGACCACCTTAGAATTCATCAATGGGTTGAATCATTTCAAGCTCAACCGTCCAGAAAACTCTCTTTTGACGCGCCGAAGCCCAAATTTTTGTAAATGTAAGAATTTACGGAGGTTAATTGGCAGAAGGTTTACGGATGATTATCGATGGTTCAATATGAACTGCTGATATATTTGATATTGAGAATTATAAGGATTTAGGAGGTAGAAAGCGCCATGTATATACACATCTGAGTTAGCTAGACTCTCGCCTTATTTACCCAAAACAGTATCACGGAATATTCTAGTCTCCTCTATCTGGTAGCACAATCTAGAAACACTTCCTGTACAATGCTCTATTGTTCCTCTACTCATCATGGAGCCACCTGGAAAGTTCTTCCTTCACCCTCAGTGATCATTACCCTTGCGCATCGTAATCCTAGCCATCACCAGCACAACACAAATTCTCCTCAGCCTCGACCACTACGCGCCCAAGCCCTTGACACCTTCGCAATCTGTAACTTTTCTCTTCCATTCAGTCCCAGCTTTGGCTCATCTCAGCATCTCCTCATCTCACCCATGGGGTCGTTTTCTTCATCGGAGGCCTCATCCAGTCGCCCACCAAGGCCTCCTCAGGTTTTATTCCCTTTTGTTCCTTGATGCAGCCTTTATTCCCTAGCTCGGGCCTGCCGGACAAATCCCTCCCCGAATGTCAGGCTGACAACTCATATCACGTGAAGGCCAAAGTAGCTAGGAAAGGTCAGCCGCAAAGGCTTGCAGCTTCCGCTATTAAATCGCAAGTGCAATGTCTGGTGACTGTGACTAGAATACATGGGGTGTTTTCTACTGTGAGCAGCACTTTCGTGACGTCTAATATTTACAGCTGATGACTATCGTTTTAGTCCGCACAAGCACCTAAGCTATGGCAGAACCACAACATGTGATTAAAACGGAAATCCAAACGCTTACACCAATACCGCCCACGGATACATCTGACATAAAGTACGGTGGCTTCACGCGGTTTGAAATAGAACTAGAGGTTACTCCAACTCCTCCAAGATTCTCTGGTTTCGAATAGCAAAGCCTAATTTCTCCTAGTTTGTTCAAGCCCTTGCATCTCCTCTATACCTGAATCATCTAGCATCGCAAAAGTACTTTGAGAACCCAGCTTTTATCGCATATTTACAGTATCTTCAGTACTGGTCCCGACCACCTTATTCCCAATTTTTAACGTATCCGGGTCCCACTCTCAAGAATCTGGAACTATTGCAACAGGAGCGCTTTCGTACAGATATTCTAAGCCCCGAAATCGTAAAAATGATGGTCGAAGAAGGCATTAAAATATGTGCCGAGGGCCCTAGTGCGAGCTGTGAGACTACAAAGGGGACACAAGAGAATCCGAAAATTCCTTGAGACCTTATCAGTATGTCATATTTTGTTCACTCATAGAAAAGACGCATATTTAATGACATGGAAGCAGCGTACTTTTTACCTTGAACAAACCAAAGCAAGGCAGATTCACTGAGTTGCCCCCATTTTGACCGAAATATGTACCATATTTGATAAAAAAATATTTGATATTGGAAAGTCTTCAATTTTTGTAAGAGCACGTGTAAATTTAGTTCTCTCTCCAGCGGTTTCCACAAGTCATGCACTGTATCAATCAGTAAAGCTCGAGCTAGTCTGACAAGAACTTTTTACCTTGTAAAAGCCAGTCATTGGCTCATCTGCACTGCGAATCTGTACTTGAAAAAATGCGGCCTCTTCTCCGTCACATCCCTCTTTGGGACACTGCATTTGAGCCTTGTCGGCGTTATCCCATGCGCCAGGCCCACCAAAAACGTCTTCTCGCTCTTTGCGGACAAAAACTTTCCTTTCGTAGTACTGTTTCGTGATCACATACTGATACGGGCAGGTCTGACATTCAAGGCGGTTAACTGGTTCGTGTTCACCAAGTGGGACAACGGTCGAAACAGTAAGGGCGTTTGAACAGGATGGGCAGACTGTTGGCTACCGTGAGACGATTGTGATATGAAATACTAGGGGCCCTACAGAGTAACATCGGAACAACAAAAATTTAAACTTGTAAACTTTGATGATTATAAGCAGGATGGGATTGATCGCGTTTGTCGAACTCGGTGTTTTCGGATGAACATTTAGCCGATGAATTATAAATATTTAGTTCATGCAATCTCTCGTTTGCTATTCGGGTTTCGTTCCGGGGGAGGGAAGCGATCGAGGATCGTTTTGCGCGCCAATCAACCTGTTAGCGCATGTCCGTTGCAGTAGCCTGTCCCCTCAATACTATCTCCTGCCATACCTTATGACACGCGCGATAGACCTCAAGGGTCGATAAAAGGATCCCTCGCACTCTGTCAGTTTGTCTACAATACGAAGGTCACCTAATTTTTATTCACAAAGGCTAATAGAAATCGCACACAATGGTGGACAACACCTCTCCTGACCAAGATGAAACAAACGAGGTACATTTCCATAATTTATTGATTCTTATCCATGGTGCAGATTACTCTACCATAGCATGAAGCACTCTTAGACTACTACAACATGCTCAAATTTACTTCAGGGTGCCTCTCTAGGTGAACAGTTGATCGAAGCTGCTCGTCGTAATAATACCCAACTCCTTAATGACATCATCAAAGCTGTCTCGGATACTGAACGCCTCACTGCTCTATTAAACAACACTAAGACCGTACTTGGAAACTACATTTACCACGAAGCGGCACTTCAAGGAAACTGTAGGGCTCTTCATCTCTAAACAAAGTAAATAAAATGTTATGTACTTTCAAATTCTAACCAAGTATAGATGAAATAATAGATATTTTGCTTGATCAGGAGGGATTTGAATGTGACCCCATAAATCGTATCGAAGGGGATACACCACTCCACAGCGCGATTCGCTATATCAACAGTCTATCGGCATTGAAAAAGGCCGAAGTTATGCCGTTTGCAAAAGATCTTATTACTATGATGATTGAAGCTGGGTCAGATCCTCGCATTAAAAATAAAGCAAAACTCACACCATATCAACTAGCTGATCCAGGTGATCAAGAATTACGGCGGATCATACAAGATGCAATAGACGCGGATCAAAATAGATGTGACTTTATTATTCAAGATGATGCCGTTTACAGTGATGAAAATTCAGAACGAGGTAGTGGAAGTGATAGTGATTTTGATCAGGAGGAATATCAGCGCCAAAAAGAAAGACAAAAACCGTCCAAAATTGATGAGTGAGGCTTGGTGAGGCGTTCAATTTCTATGTGGAGACACAGTCAGTCAAGAGAATACATACTATATCAACTAAAACCGATATAGAAATAATTTCTATATTGACCACCCTTTATTCCACGTTCATCTTATGAAAACTAATCGTAGCTCACTCAAAAGTGGCTAATTTCAGGGATGACTCTGCTTCGAAATATTGGTGAGAAAATTTATTGGGGGGAAACCAAATATAAACCACTATTTTTCAAACATAATTATGATTCCTGCCTATGCGGAAAAAACTAGACATAGAACTAATTTGTCAAATATTTTCAAAGTGTAAGTGGCTTAAATTACCGTGTACTTCAACTTCACTCTATCCAGTCGCTTGAAATTTTTACAGCAAAAGAGTCACATTTGGTCAAAAAGCCCTATTCCAAAAGAAGATGCGCGTCGGAATTTGCAGCTGTTTACGGTGTTTAGTACTTCATCGAACGTATCTTTTTTCATGACTCGAAGGTGGCTGGTTAATTCAGGCTCGTCTTACGGATGATGGTTGGTAAAGTGAAGTGATACCACACTGTAATGTGGTAGCATTTAGAACGATTAAATATATTCAAAAATAAAACAAGTTTTCGTAGAAATATGAACGTCTAAAATTTATATAACGCTGCTCAGTAGTCTATGGCCAGCTTGGAAACGATGAGATTCTTTGCTCCTGCACATCTCGTATCATTCGGGAGAATTGAGAGTTCGATGATATTGTGGTTAAGGGCGGAAACAAAACAGGGCATGATCCTCATCATATATTAGCAAATATTAAGCACATCAATATCCAAATTTACTATCAACATTAAAGCTAATTAGATAGTTTTAGCTTTCCTTCATAGACTCAGAAGGGACATTGGAAAAATTCTATTCTAATCTACTTATCATTCAAGGAAAAATCAAATTGGGGTGAAAATGAAACAATATTTCAAAAAAAGTTTGTCTTTCAGAGATGTTAGCTAAAAAGGTACAGAAACATACTTGCATTTGATTTTATTCATCCCGTTTAAGTATCTTATGGCTTCATTCAGGTAGAGATAACTATACTATTTACAGAGGAAACCATTTCGGTAAAACTCCCTAACTCTATCTGCCTTTTGTCTATCGAATCTCTAGGTTTTCCTTCAGGAATTGTATTTACACTGTTCATCCAGTGTGAATTCCATCCCGTCCTTATCCCTGTAGCTTCATCCTTCCGTTGACTGCTATCTCAACTTCTTCTGTAAGCCGAGACTGTTCAAGCCGGCCTTAAGTAAATACACACTTTATAGTCTCTCCATATCATCCGGGCTGTTCATCATATTACGGGCTAGGCTCAGTTGGGCTCTAGCTGGGCTATGTATTACTACAGGGCTCATCATTGCTTTGTAGGCTCCAAAAGCCAAATCGCCATCAAAGAAGCAAGAGGATGTCCGACCCTCCGCAAATACCAGTCGCTGTGAAGGTACGGTCGAAATACAGGCCTTCAATGCGTCCTCACCTCGGCCAAGGGCACCAACAACTCGATCTGCGAAGAATCGCCACCGACGAAATACGTACGACATTTCGCCAGCAAACTAACTAGAGCATTCGACAAAGACTGGGGCCCTGGTGCCTCGGTCTTGAGCTCTCAGTCGCGTTTTCGACTTCCACGGCTAGGGGTACAGCAGCGATGGGGCAAGGCCGGAGGGGTGGACATTCTACAAAGTTTCTGGGATGACGAGATCGGCTGAAGGACAGAGGGATGCTATATGAAGGAACAAAAGGGAATGAAAACTGAGGAGGCCTTGGTAGGAGACTGGATGAGGCCTCTGATGAAGAGAACGACCCCATGGGTGAGATGAGGAGATGCTGAGATGAGCCTAAGCTGGGACTGAATGGAAGAGAAAAGTTACAGATTGCGAAGGTGTCAAGGGCTTGGGCGCGTGGTGGCCGAGACTGAGGAGGAATTTGCGCTTCGGCGCGTCAAAAGAGGGTTCTCTGAAAGGTTGGGCTTGATATGATTCAACACATGGGTGAAGTCTGAGGTGGTGTGCGTCTTTGTCTTACAATAGACTATGGACTCAAAGCACGAGTGTAATTAGTATCACAGAATGCCTGGTAAGTCGTTTAGTCAGATGTAAGTTGATTGTCCCCTCTTCCAACCGAAAACTCCTAATGATGCTAATTCTAATTAATATTACATAATAGCACATGACCAGGACACACACCATCCCCTTTTTCAAACTCCGTCATCGTCAACCTGGCTCCATTGTGCTAGTACGTCCGAAATTCTACGTCTGTCTCTCTCAAGCAGAGTTTGTTATATTAACTAGGCTATATGGGAGCAGGACGATGGATACTCTTGGGGAAGTTATGCTCACAGTAGGTCTCTATAGTCGCTGTCGCGTGTGTTCTCGTGATATGTAAGACTTGACTCTATATTCTTGTATAAAGGAAAATTAGTTACAAATGAATGGACGGAGGTTGAGACCTCCTTATATCTTGCTCCAGACTTACTGTGTTGTTCACAGCCTAGTGCTAGAACATTCCCTTATGATATCATTTCTCTCCTACGAGAAATGACCAGCTCGTTCTCTCTCAGTCCATCAGTCTCTCGCTGATTCCGTTATCTCTATTCCATCTAGTTCTAGTTTGGTCCAGTATACTCACACATGCATCACACATGCATTACACACTAAACACCCTACGGTTTAGTTCCACAGTCACGTGCATATGCTATGACGCGACCTAAAGCATGTACCATGGTAAGTTACATGGATAACACAACAGAGTTTTACTGCTGTACCATAGAGATCTTACAGGATGTCCATCGTTAACGTAAGCCGGGAATAGCTGCTGACCGTGATACTCATTTCGCAAAGTAAACCCTCCCTGAGTGCGTAGAACATAACTGTTGTGAGGAGAGGCATCCGCAATGATAAAGGGACCGTCATAGAATGGTTCGCCCTTGCGATCTCTTTTCCTTTGTCGCAAAACCCAATCAACCTTACCAAACACCCTAAGCCGAACTTTCTTTTCCTGGAGGTATGAACGAATTTCATCTCTTGCTGCTTTTCCTGTTGCAACGTTTAGGCGCGCATCTTGTACTCTAGGATTATACAGTTTAACGAGATCGGTAGAGAAAGCAGATTCCTCAGCGGGAGTTAATTCTCGCACGTAAGGGCTTGGAGAATCTTCGTGCAGGACTCCTAGAGCAAGAAAAATAGGAGAATATCCAGTTGAGTTAGGACGCCGGTTATACGTGCTGAGTGACTGATCTAGGACCCACTGGATACTACGAGACAGGTTAATAGCAGATATGGCATAGAAAATAGTCTAAATGATGCCGTTGAATCGTTCTACTTTGCCGTTCGTCTGTGGGCGATATGGTTTGGTTAAAGACTGCTCAATAGATTTTTCCTTACAAAATGAAGACATTTCTTTACTTAGGAATGCTTGGCCATTATCAGTTATTAATTGCTTGATTCCAAACAGAGCATGAATTTGTCGGGTTAGTTCCAAACAAGAGGCAGTGTTTGGTGATTGCGTCAATAGTGCAATTGCATACGAAGTCGCGTGATTGATAGATGTACATAGGTAAGCTGATTGACCGTTATGGCGTACCGGACCGGTGTGATCCATCCCCCACCTTGTGAAAGGTACTGGGGCCTGCACCGGGCGTAAATTATCCTGTTTGTGTATGTCAATCAGTTGCGTCATCAGTTGACATCTGGAACAAGTCTTAAACGCTTCCTGCGCGGCTATAACAATATCTGGATGCCACAGATGATTTCTTGACTCCCTAATTAAAGCTCCTATCGAACAATGTGCACTTTTCTCATGCAACTTAACCAAAGCCGACACAAGCTTGCCGTAGTGGTGGATTATTAAAAACTTGTTATCAATCACTCGGTACGTTGAACCATTGTGAGATGCGAAATTACGTTTAACCCAAGATTCAGGAAGATTATCAGGAAGAGTCACACGATGCTGTAAGAACTCTGCAATCGAGTGCAAATCTATCCAGGACAGTCTTTCTGCATCTGGTAACATATTTGATGGCGAATTCAGTGAATTGTTGTGGACAGGGTCGTATCTTGCAATTGGGAATGAGGTCGCTTTGTTGGGTGGTCGTGAAAGCCAGTCCGCAAGATGGTTCGATTTACCCTTTTTGTAAACAATTGTTGGATCGAAATGCTCAATAACGTCTACAAATCGTTGCATTCGCCAAGGTAAATTAGACTTTTTTCGAATCCCTGCCAAACTTTCGTGATCAGTCCTGATTATAATATCACAACCCCCAATCCAATCTTGCCAAGTTAGAAGTACTTGAACCATTCCTAAGGCTTCGCGTTCCTGTGAAGAGTATTGCTGCCGAGTAGGATTAAGGTTTCGACTCGTATAAGCTACAGGATGCAAATGTGCCCCATCCATAGATGGCTGTAAAATTTTTAAACGGATGAATGGCTAGATAGGGGCTTCGGGTTGGAGGAGAACACCACCAGTATATTTGTCGGATGCATCGACATCGAGAACGACTGGTAAATGTGGGTCTATGGGCCTCAAAATAGGAGTAGTAATAAGAGCATTACGTGTAGCTTTCCAGGCTTCGATTTGCTCGTCACTTAACGTAACAGGTACATTTTTGCCTTCCAAAGACGTAAGGCTATAGAGAGGCCCAGCGAATTTGCTGAAAAATTTAATGTAATCACGAAAGTAATTACATGAATTAAGGAAAGCCCGAACTTCTGTAACAGTTCGTGGCATGGGTCTCTCGAGAATTGCCTGGATTTTTGAAGGATCTACTTGAATGCCGTGTCTGTCAATAATATGGCCCAAAAATCCTGTTTGCGTGACAAACCAAGCACATTTTCGGGGGTTTAACTCATAGCCACATGATTTTAACTGTCCAATTACCCTAGTAGCATTCTGGGTCGCTGCCCTCACATTATTACCCCATATTATTACATCATCTATCATATTGGCCGTGATATCTCGGACTGGCTGAAGGCATTCATCCA